CTTGGGGAAATTACCAGTCCTCTGAAGGTTTTTTCGATTGAAGTTGTACACACCTTGATGGATATATAGAAGTGTATCGTTGTGTTGTTTGTTCTGTTTTGTTTTGATACAAATCTCACCAGATTGGGCCTACTGGATGATCGAGATTACTCCCTGAGGATTAGTGGCCTAATTTCCTGATCCTTTGACTCTACGGTGAGGTCGATAGTGTGATAGGGGAGTATAAGCCAATTTGAAAATATTGTTTCAACAGAATGTGTTGTTATTCTATTTGACATTTGTCTTAGAAATTTGTATTAAGGATATTGGTAAAAGTAATAATTAGTCATACAGAAAATGCTTGTCTGGATTTCCTGAATCAGAAATGAACTGAACTAAACTGTTGTTCTGATCTGTCCTCTCTCGAGGTTATGGTAAAGGTGACAACAGATGGTGTCTAGAATACATTTTACTTAAACCGGGAGTCACTACCTGGATTTGTCCAACAAGATATGCTAATTTTAGTTTCTACAGATGGTGTTATGGGGATGGAAATAGTTATTTCCACCATGTTGACCAATGGGAGTGCTCAGTATCAACATGATTATTGTGTTTCGATGAAAAATGATTTAGATTGTTGAGAATTTCTTATTGATATTTTAATGTTTATATTAATCCCAATGAAGGATAATTTTATGTTAAGGTTGAAAGCTCAATGAACCAACGGAGGGAGCTTACATGGAAATAAGATACTCGACATTGAAGGGTTTTGAATCTCTGTTTTTCTTATCTTTAATAATTCATATATTCTACAACAAATGTTAGTAAGATTTGCCATGTTACTGTTCATTTTTTTCCTGGAAGGAACATAGTCCCTTGAAAGGGGAATGTGAGAGAAAAATGTACATGTAACATGTTTACCTGCTTTGTTTAATATTAATAGTTAACAATTATATACTGTTCTACTAATGCTGTGTTTTTTTAAAGGTATGGTTTCTACTCCAGCTACCTGCAGCTAGTCTAGGCGTAAGGTCAAGGACATGGGCATTACTAGAGATCGGGGTTGTCACACCCTGGCTATGGGACTCTAGTTGTTGAGCCAGGGTGTGTTTGTTCTATGTGGTGTATTTCTATGTTGGGGGTTCTAGTTCGTCTATTTCTATGTTTTGCCTGAGTGACTCCCAATCAGAGGCAACGAGTATCAGCTGTTGGCTGGTTGTCTCTGATTGGGAGCCATATTTAAACTGTCTGTGTTTCACTTTGTGTTTGTGGGTTTTTGTTCTGTGTCGGTCATTGTTACCGTGGACTTCACGAGTCGTTTCTTGTTTTGTTGTTTCGTGTGTGCACTTTAATTAAATAAATTTAAACATGTTCGTTCAACACGCTGCGCATTGGTCTCTCCCTGACGATCGTGACAGAAAAACCCACCATACCAGGACCAAGCAGCGTGTCCAGGAGCAGGCAGCCTGGACATGGGAGGAGATATTGGACGGGAAAGGGTCCTGGACCTGGGAGGAGATCCTGGCCGGGATGGACCGCCGGCCATGGAGTGAGACAGTTGAGAGGCGACGGAGAGAGGAGCAACGGCGTAAGCAGTGTCAGCGTCGGACGGTCGAGAGGCAACCCCAAAATTTTTTTAGGGGGGGGGCACACGGCAGGGGCGACTGGGCAGCAGGAGGCTGCCACAGGGCGATTAGGTGAGGAGGCCACCAGGTTAAGGGGGCTACTGGCGCAGAGGGAGCAGGAGTTAGTGTTGCAGAGGATGGAGCTATTGGAGGCGATAAGGGAAAGGGTGAGAAATGAGGCACGGCGAGAGGAACTCGGTAGGCAGCTGAGGGAGCGGAGGGTTATGATGAAACCCAGTCCCGCTCCTCACACCAAGCAAGTGGTGTGCGTCACCAGTCCGGTCCGGCCCGTTCCTGCTTCCCGCACTAAGTGTACGGTGCACGTCGCCAGCCCAGCCCGGCCTGTCCCTGCTCCACGCACCAAGCCTACGGTGTGCGTCGCCAGCCCAGTCCGGCCTGTCCCTGCTCCACGCACCAAGCCTACGGTGTGCGTCGCCAGCCCAGTCCGGCCTGTCCCTGCTCCACGCACCAAGCCTACGGTGTGCGTCGCCAGCCCAGCCCGGCCTGTCCCTGCTCCACGCACCAAGCCTACGGGGTGCGTCGCCAGCCCAGCCCGGCCTGTCCCTGCTCCACGCACCAAGCCTACGGTGTGCGTCGCCAGCCCAGCCCGGCCTGTCCCTGCTCCACGCACCAAGCCTACGGTGTGCGTCGCCAGCCCAGCCCGGCCGGTCCCTGCTCCACGCACCAAGCCTACGGTGCGCGTCGCCAGCCCGGCCCGGCCTGTTCCTGCCACTCGCACCAAGTCAGGGGTGCGAGTCGTCAGCCTGGTCCAGCCTGTTCCTGCCACTCGCACCAAGCCAGTGGTGCGAGTCGTCAGCCTGGTCCAGCCCGTTCCTGCCACTCGCACCAAGCCAGAGGTGCGAGTCGTCAGCCTGGCAAGGCCCGTCGCTGCTCCACGCACCAAGCCAGAGGTGCGAGTCGTCAGCCTGGCAAGGCCCGTCGCTGCTCCACGCACCAAGCCAGGGGTGCGAGTCGTCAGTCCGGTGAGGCCCGTTCCGGCTCCACGCACCAAGCCAGGGGTGCGCATCGTCAGCCCGGTCCGGCCCGTTGCTGCTCCACGCACCAAGCCAGGGGTGCGAGTCGTCAGTCCGGTGAGGCCCGTTCCGGCTCCACGCACCAAGCCAGGGGTGCGTATCGTCAGCCCGGTCCGGCCCGTTGCTGCTCCACGCACCAAGCCAGGGGTGCGCATCGACAGCCAGGTCCGGTCCTTTCCTGCCTCACGCACCAAGCCTGGGGTGCGCGTCGTCAGTCCGGCACAACCCGTGCCTTGGTCATCGGTGCCAAATCAGGTACCGCTTTATTGCTCCCCAACGGAGCTGAAGCTAGCCGCTCCTGCTACGTCCAGGTCAGCTCCAGCCAGCGGGGTCAGACCGGACCAGGGGCGCTATGGGGGGTTTATTGGAGGGTGGTGGGCAAGCCCGGAGCCAGAACCGCCGCCGAGGAGGTATACCCACCCAGCCCTCCCCTGTTTTGCTCTTTTTGAGGCGCGGTCGCAGTCCGCGCCTTTAGGGGGGGGTACTGTCACACCCTGGCTATGGGACTCTAGTTGTTGAGCCAGGGTGTGTTTGTTCTATGTGGTGTATTTCTATGTTGGGGGTTCTAGTTCGTCTATTTCTATGTTTTGCCTGAGTGACTCCCAATCAGAGGCAACGAGTGTCAGCTGTTGGCTGGTTGTCTCTGATTGGGAGCCATATTTAAACTGTCTGTGTTTCACTTTGTGTTTGTGGGTTTTTGTTCCGTGTCGGTCATTGTTACCGTGGACTTCACGAGTCGTTTCTTGTTTTGTTGTTTCGTGTGTGCACTTTAATTAAATAAAGTTAAACATGTTCGTTCAACACGCTGCGCATTGGTCTCTCCCTGACGATCATGACAGGGGTATCTGGAGCTGACAATTGATTTATGAATGGTTGGGTGATAAAACCTTCAGCATGCATTCAATAGAATGAGTTGGTGTTTATGTAATGTAAGGTACCAGGGAGAGATGGCTCGGGTATGGATAAAGATGAAAGGAACCTTGTCTTAGGGGCCAAACTTGGGTTTCTGTATAATAAGAACAGTCTTCAGGGCAAATGCTATCTGGCTGGGGGATACTCCTTTCTCATATATCAAGTCTCACCTTTTGACCCATTGCACACATTTGCTGTTTGTTATGTACAATAGGAGAGGGTATCGTGCTATAGAAGATCTTTGTATTCTTTGTATGTGAGAGCTCTCGGCATCACACTTCAGAGTGTGGGGTCGACCAGTCTCATTATTGCAATAATTAATCGATATTAAATAACGATGATTGTTTGAAGAAATGACAGTCTTTCTCACTTTATTATAATTTCCACCACAACCTTGAGGACAACAAATTGTAAAAATGTAAATAAACTACAAATGACAGAATTAACACTACAGCTTCAAACACCACAAATCCAAACAGTTGCAATTCTCATTAAATTCATTCAAATGTAAAGTCCTAAACTACCCTAGATGCACCAGAGAGTCAATATGTAGGGAGTTTTATAGGCTATTCCAAAAATGGGGGGCACTAAAACTGAAGGTGGATTTACCTACAGTAGATCGGGGATGGAACCTTGAGAGTTAACCATCCCTGTGAACGGGTTTGGTGTCTCATATTTTAACATTTTAACAGTGAAGTGAGGTAGGTCAGAGGCTTGTATAGTAGAGCTTTGTAAACAAAAAGTTATCTACAGGACTTTAATGAGGACCGGCCAACCTTTTGATACAGGATGCAGTGATCCGTATTAAAACTGTCACCTGTGATAAAGCGAAGTTATATCTGTTTGGGCTTCTTGTGGTGAATTTGTAGTACAAATTATTTGTAATTATGTTCTGGCCCCTTGTCCATCCGCTCAAGAAAAAAATTGGCCTGAGATGGAGACTTTAATCCGACATATGAATAATTAACTTGAAGATTAAAATTCATATCAACCAAAGCTTGAAACCATGTGTATTGTCTACTTTTAGTTGAAACCTGGGTTGAATTGAAACAAAAGCTGTTGATGAATGCTATACAGGCCTAAATAGTATAATTGATGATTTATGACTTATAAAGTATGGTTACATTCCAAAATCAGCACCTCCCACCTCAGCAACAATATCTGGCTTCTTCTGCAAAACAATCTTACTTTTCGTAATCAAATCCCTTTAACTGCCACACTTCAATTAATATTTAATACGCTTCTTTTGTTGGTGCTGCCTTTCCTTCGTCACTAACATGATCATGATCAAATAGAGTAGGGAGTTGTTTCCTGAAATAAAAACTAAAATGTAATACTGAGACTCATATTCAAAGTTATATCACGCACACACACACACACACACACACACATACACACGCGCACACACACACACACACACACACACACACACACACACTGGCCATGGGATTCAGTCTTCCTGTCCCTTCGAGTTGAAGAAAGACAGTTTGTCCAGGTAAGTGAGGGCCTTGCAAGCAACCAGGCCATAGTAGGTCTCTAGAAGGGAACATCCTCCATCCTCCTGGCCCAGATCTGCCCACACCGTCCCAAGCTCCTCACTTCCCACCCCCGGGGAGTTGAACAGGTAGCGGTAACAGCAATCATTATAACGAATGTGCTTCTCCCCTGAGAAGCGTGCACTGTGGGTGGGTACCACCCCGGCCTTCCAGGCACACAGGCCCACAAACACATCAGCGGGAAGGGTGGTATGGACCCCAGCTGACGCCACATACACCTTCCTAACCACATCCTGGGAGAGGACAGAGGCAGTTCTGGCACAGTAGTCTGGGAGATACCTGTTAGGGCACAGTAAAATGTACACTGTCACTATACCTTGGGTCCAACCAGGGTGCATATTAAGGAGCAAACAGAATACATGGGAGTTATTCAGCCTTTTGAAGGACAATGGAAGCTTATTGTAAACTTTTTCAATTCAGTACAATTAACGCATTGTTTCTTAATAATATAAAGTATTTTCCTACTGTTTCCATAATTATTTTCCTACTGTTTACATTGCCCTCCAAGAGTGGATGAATAACTCTCCTATATATATCCAGGTACAGTACCTGTCTGGATAGAGGGCTGGAGCTAAGTAGCTGGGACTGGAGGGGTCTCGGTTGGGGGTGTCTTTGTGCATCACCCTCCCTAAGTAGAGGTCCTCAGGGTGTCTTCTCAGCCCCAGAAGGTAACCCCCTAACGCAGGGAGATTGACAAACACAGAGTCCTCTGTGATCAGGACGAACCTGGCTACTGGGCAGAAAGCCACCACCCACCGTAACGCCAACACCTCCCTCTCGGCCTGACCATGAGGGGAGTCATTCACGTAACCTTGGACCATGTCACCGTGGCGACCGGACTCCGTCATGACAGTCTCCTGGGTAGCGGTGGAGGGAGACAATCCCAGGAAGAAGAGTGTTCTCACGGCGAAACCCTGGACACGTGTTTGGTTGGCCCAGGTGGTCCTTACCGCATTCCTCTGGGTGTGATTGCTTGGAGAACTGAAGACGATGGTGAGGAGGAAGAGGTCACTGTTTAGGCAGGCGTTTGGGTTTGTAATGGGGTAATACTGGGACTCATTTCCCCTGGTCCCACTCAGGTCTAGTTTACGGGCCCTCTCCCTCACGTCCAGGACTGTTCCATCTGTGTAGATCCCTGGGGTGGGCTGGAGAATGTACTCCTCTACAAAGTCAGCCCCAAACAACAGGGCATGGAACAGAAGCACATTGAAGAGCAGGAAACACCACTGGTGGGTACGCAACCTGCACAGAGAGAACTTGAGAGAGAGAGAGAGAGAGAGAGAGAGAGAGAGAGAGAGAGAGAGAGAGAGAGAGAGAGAGAGAGAGAGAGAGAGAGAGAGAGAGAGAGAGAGAGAGAGAGAGAGAGAGAGAGAGAGAGAGAGAGAGAGAGAGAGAGAGAGAGAGAGATTCAAACTTACTGATGTACTCAAACACATAAAATAAATACAAACCACAACCCTGGTCACAATGCTGAGCTGTTCCTAATGTTAATTTAGAAGATCCACAGACATGGTTGGGAGTTTTCAGTTAGAAATAAAAAAGGTCAGTATCATGCTAATGTCTGTGAGGGAACTAAATATGCTTACCTGCATGGTGTCTGCTCATAAGGAACTGCTCCTCTGCCCCTGAACCAGTAAAGCCCTGAGTAACTTGGTGACTCCGGTTGAATGAATAGACTAGCATGAATCTATTTTGTAGAGGTCTTTCCACCACCTGGTAACTCTACCGCCGGGTAACAGTAACACTACACTCTTCCACATGGTCAGATGGCTGGCTATTCACAAGGAAAGTATCCTCCATCATACATATAGTAATGGCCTGCAGAAAGACTGGATTAACGCACTGTATGAGAAACAACAACCTAGGTAAACAAACCAAGTAAACCAACAGTTGTTTACTGTCCTTTAACCTTATACACTCGTGGTAATCGGCCTATATGGATAGGGCTAAATTGAAATGTTTCTTACAGAAGAAATATGAAAAGCATATGCATAACCATGGTGGTAATTGAAAGGGAACAGTTTGGAGATTTTGGGGTGAGGACACCTGACACAAGACTGAATCCAAACATTACACTGTTGATTTTATGTGCATTTTACATTTACTGTACTTTTCACCGCATTTGTTGATAACGAAATCTGAAAATACTCTGAATACATTCAGTAACATGATAAGAATATTCCTGGAAAATGTGGGGTAGGTGCAACATAAGACAAAGTGTGCACAGTTCACTTTTATGACTCAAAGAAGTCTTCAACTATAAGGTGCTTTTTGCGCTATCTTAGCTATGCCATTGAGGAACTAGCACAAGCACACTTGTAGTTGTTTTGTTTGGAACACAACCCTGTATTTCCACCATCACACAATTACTGTTCTTCTTTACACAATCCAGAAACGATCCATTATAAACCGCAATCTGGGTCAAGTGGGCATAATTTGAAATCTTGTTCTATTGCCAACATGACCAGCTAAGTTATAAAATACGATATTACAATGTTAGGCTTTCACAATGCAATTCAGGGAAACAGATCAGAATTTTGATGCGCACAGAAAGGAGTCGTGGCAAATTTTCTTCACAATAGACAAACATAGGCTCATTCTGTTCAGAACAACTCTGGGTATGATGCCATGTCATCTTGTAGCTGTACATCAAACATAGTTATAATAAATATTGACACTGTATATGACATGCTATGGAAATGTGAAGTGCACTTTTGGACTCAAGGGTGTTTGGCTTGCTTGTATGACATCAATGTGGTATTTATTATAATCCTCAACATCTTTCAAAATACATAGAGTCCTCTTAATTTACAGCATTTCCCCCACTCAGACAACAACATCTTTGCAAAAGTTGCCCAATTAGCAGGAGGGATAAGAGCAACTTCTTGTCACGCAAGGTGCTCAAGTTCAGAACAGCTGTCAGTCAAAACCCCATACAGCGCTGTGAATTGCAGAGCCAGAGCTCTGACGTCATGTATAGCATGTTACTGTACACCCACTGCATTCCAATTTTGGCATTTATCAGTGCCCAAATCTGCCATTTTAAACCGTATACGGGTACGTGTGTAAAGGGTTAACCCATTTAGGCCAGGATTCAATCAGATCAGCGTTAACCTGCAATAACCGACAAACCCATAGCATATCATTGCTTTTGTTTAGGAGATGTCAGAGGTGTAACTACGTTGGCGCTGTCAAATCGGTGAGCAGATGCTCTTGCCCACATGAAGAAATACTACAGTTTACTATTGTAAACTGTAGTATACTTTAGAACATACTACACACTGTACTATCCCTCGATAATGTGTAGAACTTAATATAGAATGTTCTAGTATACTGTAGAATACTACAGTAAATACTACAGTATTATCTGCAACAACCAACAAAACACTGTAGTAAATACTACAGTAATGTCCACAAAAACACTACTCTTTTAAAAAACTATAGTAAATACTACAGTATTTAATTTGCATATACCCTGCCCATTCCCCTCCCCCATATCGCAATCTGTGCCACCCATAAGTGAGAAACCTACATGCCAAGTATAGACCATATTGTGTTCCCTACAGGTTATAGAACTAAGCAGAAGCTCTGAACTATTGCTTTAGACCCCAGTCCTACCTATCTATAGGTTATGGAAAATTAGCTATTTTTGTATTTCTCCAATAAAACACTATAGTAAATACTACAGTAATGAATGCAAAAATGCTACAGTATACTAACATCAGCAAAAACACTACATTAATTACTATAGTTTATATTAAATTAAATACTTTATTACAGTATTTATACTATAGTTAACTGTAAATACTATAGTTTTTTGCGGACTTTACAGTAAAGTATGCAAAAACACTACAGTGAATACTATAATATTTAAACAATAGTTTACTATTGTATTTTTTCATGTGGGTGTGGTCAATGAAACCACACCCGTCCTTATATCCCACTCGCGTTAGAAGTTCAGAACGATAAGGTGTAGGATACATATAGTTACACATACATGAGACACAACACAACAACATATAACATAACAATGAATGGAAGTTAAAACAGCGCACCGCCAGTACGACACCAGTACGATGCCAGAACACAGCCCATGCCAGCAACCCAGTCCTAGACACTAATAAAAGACCCATCATATCAGGCCCATTGCCCTTTCTGAATCGTGGCATTGAACTGGCTACGCGATTATTGAAGCTCAATGGGTGTAACTTTTGTTGACAATTTCGATACCTTTTGGAAACAAAACATGTTTTATAAGGGGGATGAGATCCACCCGAATTATTTGGGTTCCTGGATCCTTTCACAGCATTATAAGGCTCAGCTGAGACAATGACTTATCAATGACCCAAGCCCAGCTCAGTTAATCCCTAATATTGTGTCGCTGGTTTGTCATAATGCTTCAGCAAATGTACATTATACCAGGGGCGTTGGTAGACACAATGTAAGTAACCTAATTTATGTCCCTCTAACTGCCCTGAATGCCTCTGCTGATCCTACAGCTATTGTATGTAGTGTTAGGTTCTAAACGAACCAAGTAAAACTAACAGACGATTAGTAAAGCTCAACCAAGTTTATTCACCCACTGGGTCCCACAGCTGCATAAGACAAAAACATGTTTCCACCAGCACAGTGGGGAAAAAAAGTATTTAGTCAGCCACCAATTGTGCAAGTTCTTCCACGTCAACTATGACAGACAAAATGAGATTTTTTTTCTCCAGAAAATCACATCGTAGGATTTTTTATGAATTTATTTGCAAATTATGGCGGAAAATAAGTATTTGGTCAATAACAAAAGTTTCTCAATACTTTGTTATATACCCTTTGTTGGCAATGCCACAGGTCAAACGTTTTCTGTAAGTCTTCACAAGGTTTTCACACACTGTTGCTGGTATTTTGGCCCATTCCTCCATGCAGATCTCCTCTAGAGCAGTGATGTTTTGGGGCTGTCGCTGGGCAACACGGACTTTCAACTCCCTTCAAAGATTTTCTATGGGGTTGAGATCTGGAGACTGGCTTGGCCACTCCAGGACCTTGAAATTCTTCTGACGAAGCCACTCCTTCGTTGCCCGGGCGGTGTGTTTGGGATCATTGTCATGCTGAAAGACCCAGCCACGTTTCATCTTCAATGCCCTTGCTGATGGAAGGAGGTTTTCACTCAAAATCTCACGATACATGGCCCCATTCATTCTTTCCTTTACACGGATCAGTCGTCCTGGTCCCTTTGCAGAAAAACAGCCCCAAAGCATGATGTTTCCACCCCCATGCTTCACAGTAGGTATGGTGTTCTTTGGATGCAACTCAGCATTCTTTGTCCTCCAAACACGACGAGATGATTTTTTACCAAAAAAGTTATATTTTGGTTTCATCTGACCATATGACATTCTCCCAATCCTCTTCTGGATCATCCAAATGCACTCTAGCAAACTTCAGACGGGCCTGCACATGTACTGGCTTAAGCAGGGGGACACGTCTGGCACTGCAGGATTTGAGTCCCTGGCGGCGTAGTGTGTTACTGATGGTAGGCTTTGTTACTTTGGTCCCAGCTCTCTGCAGGTCATTCACTAGGTCCCCCCGTGTGGTTCTGGGATTTTTGCTCACCGTTCTTGTGATCATTTTGACCCCACGGGGTGAGATCTTGCGTGGAGCCCCAGATCAAGGGAGATTATCAGTGGTCTTGTATGTCTTCCATTTCCTAATAATTGCTCCCACAGTTGATTTCTTCAAACCAAGCTGCTTACCTATTGCAGATTCAGTCTTCCCAGCCTGGTGCAGGTCTACAATTTTGTTTCTGGTGTCCTTTGACAGCTCTTTGGTCTTGGCCATAGTGGAGTTTGGAGTGTGACTGTTTGAGGTTGTGGACAGGTGTCTTTTATACTGAAAACAAGTTCAAACAGGTGCCATTAATACAGGTAATGAGTGGAGGACAGAGGAGCCTCTTAAAGAATAAGTTACAGGTCTGTGGGAGCCAGAAATCTTGCTTGTTTGTAGGTGACCAAATACTTATTTTCCACCATAATTTGCAAATAAATTCATAAAAAATCCTACAATGTGATTTTCTGGAAAAAAAAATCTCAATTTGTCTGTCATAGTTTACCTGTACCTATGATGAAAATTACAGGCCTCTCTCATCTTTTTAAGTGGGAGAACTTGCACAATTGGTGGCTGACTAAATACTTTTTCCCCCACTGTATGTATACCCCAATTTGGGTGAAGTATCCTCCCTTCCCTCTAAACATTACATGATTATTGCTAGAAAGGAAGTTAAGTGATGCGGGCAATAAACTGTTCCTTCTCCCTTAATGTGACCTGACCTGACCTCATTCCTCACTCCTCACTGATCCACAGCTATCCACCCTTATCAGTGACTACAACCATGTGATTGCCTCCATCATATTCAGTGCCTTGCAAAACTATTCACCCCCCTTGGCGTTTTTTCCTATTTTGTTGCATTACAACATGTAATTAAAATGGATTTTTATTTGGATTTCATGTAATGGACATACACAAAATAGTCGAAATTGGTGAAGTGAAATGAAAAAAAATAACTTGTTTCAAAAAATTCTAAAAAATAAATAACCGAATAGTTGTGCGT